TAGTAACAAAGGGCATCGCTACTAGGAGCAAGGACGCTACTAGGGGCACTTGGACTCGGTATGCACCTGCCCTACCGCTGTTGGCTCAAGCCGGGTTGACCCAGTTACATGTGCACATTCCACACACGCAGCTAAAAAGGTGCGTTCAGGGAGCCTGGTATCACAATAGACCATGTTCTACACACCACTAGTTGCATACATGCTTTAGGATCCTACCTCTGTTTCGAGTTGGTAGCGGAGCTCCTGTGTTGGTCTGGGGCGATGATGCTGCCGTTCGTTGCAGCCATGGTGATGTGCGCCGTGCTTCATGCCGGTGATGGCCCTCATCACCTTTCGTTCGACGCCGGCGATTGCCAACATCGCCTTTCGCATGCAGGTGGCGTCCAGTGCCACCATTCGCCGCCGGTAGGCCATGCCGTTCGCTTCGGTTCGTGTCCTTGTCTTTCGGTCCCGTTTTCGCCACCCGTCCCGGCTAGTGCATCGTGTCCAGGCGATGCCCCCGGAGACGATTCGGTTTGTCCCTGTCTTTTGTCCCTCCCGCATTCGCATTCGGCCAGTCTTTGTCTTCCGTGTACCGCCACGACAGCCATCCTGACGCCAGTCAGTGATGACGGGATTTGTCCATGTCTTTTCGTGCCGATCGCCAACCCCTCCAATACCACATCCATCGATGCCACAAGAACTACCAATGCCACATTCACCACAACAACCATTCGCAACGCCTTTCGCCATGTCCACATGATTGCCGCTCAGGCCACCAACGCAAGCAGTTCGATAGCTTTGATGACGGCCGCCGCCGTGACTCATTCGCTACAGCTGCATAAGGAATGCATCATGTGCCCAGAACTCCAATGGCTGTTTGCCGTCGCCGCCATGATCACTGCCATCCATGCCTTCTCCAGCAAGGCTACACCAAGGGTGCAGGTGACTGTTGGCCGCGTTCGATACAGCCGCCGAGTTCGTGCAGACTTCAAGAATGCAAGCATTGGCCATAGCCGTGTTGTGTTTGCCATGCTGTTGTTCGCGCAAGAGGTACAGGCATTCGCAGGTCCTGAGGTTGGCAGAGCAGTTGCGACAGTGTCGGAGCCACCGACCATGTCCGGCACTGAGGTGACACAGGCCATAACTAGGTCAGTGCAGGAGCCCGCAAGTGAAGCCAAGGGAGTCAGTGGTGCACCAACCCAAGCAGTGCCCACGGCCTATAGCAGATTCGTCCGTGCCGCAAGGCTGATCATCCCAGCGGCCATTGTGTGCATCATTCTGCTTATGTATCCCGGCAATGTAGCGCAATCCATGCGGATGCCTCCTGTGTACGATCCGAACGATCACACCCAGTCCTTCCGAGCTTGGAGCCAAGACCTGATGCTTTGGACCATCTCCAATGAACTTCAGCCGCACCAGCAGGCCGCCATGGTGGTGGCACAGCTGCGTGGTCCTGCTCGAGAAATGGCTAGGAGTATCACGCCTCAGGAACTGTACCACGGTGGCATGTACAATGGAGTCCATTTGGATCCAGTCTCATACATCCTTCAAGGGTTGGCATCAAGGTTCGCGCCGCTTGATGATGAGACTCGCCTCCGAGCTGCGCAAGAGCTCCTTTCGTTCCACCGTAGGCCGCATGAGTCGATTGATGGACTCATCACTAGGTTCGAAATCGTTCGCAGTCGAGCAAGGCAGGAAGGAGGTGGAGCAACAGTGTCCACCGAGACTGCAGCTCTCCTCCTGCTTCGAGCATGCAACTGCAATCCGGAGCAATTCCAAGCC